GTTTTAACTTTCGAATCGTCAAAAATTCTTCTCGCAAATATTGTTTTTATATAAAATGAAGTTATTTGCAAAATTTCAACCAAATCGACAGATTTTAAATCAATCTATATCGTTAAATAATTATATTAAATGTATAGGGATAAATTAATACGAATTTGGACTATTGAAAGCGAAGAAGAAGAAACAGATTCCGAAATTACCATGAAATTTCAAGAAAAATCTTACAGTCCATTAGATGGTCATAAATATAGCATAAATCACGTAGAATTTAGTCCTTGTGGTCGTATGCTTGCCTCCTGCTCTTTAGATGGAACTGTTGTTATCTGGAATACTGAGGTAATACTACATATATTTAAATAAAAATTATCAATGTTAAAATAGGAAAATAACAATATTGAAACATTTTGAAGAATAACGAAACATAACGACTTTTTTTTGGTCCATTTCATATAACTTTGTAAATTGTAAATTAAACTCACTGTTAGTGATGCTCTTTTATTACTTAATTTCTCGTAGGACGGCTGTCAAGCAAAATCTTCTTTCGTAAATTCAGGATCCGGTATTCGTGTTTGTCGATGGTCCCCGGATGGTACTAAAATTGCTACTGCTGGAGATGATGAAAGAACAACATTATGGAATGTGGATAATATGGAGGAACTTTGGTATATCTTTAAAATATTTTGACCATATTTCCGAATAATATCAATGATTGAAATCTTAACTTTAGCAATTTATGTCAAAAGAAAAATCACCATTACAAATCCCAATTACTAGATAAAATTAAATTCGTGAGAAGATAATATTTCTTAATAATTCTGCTGATAATATCTTCTGATAATTCACATTCATTCTTTGTCTTTAAATCCCCTAAAATTTACCAAATTTCATTTCAATCAGTCATTAATGCCTTTTCAAGTTTTTATATTTAAAGTAGAAAAATTATATCTTTTTTTTTTTGTCTTTTCTATTTAGAAATATACAAGTATTTAAAATTATAGATTTGACTCAGATCGGAATTTTTTTGGATTCGGATCGAGATCTCGAAAAATTTATTAATTCATATTCAGATATTCATTATTTCGAGATTCAATTTTCGATTCAAAATCTAAAGTTTGATTCAAAACATGATTTTTTTGTTACTTAATTTTTTTAATTCTGATTTTGTAATATAATTAGATATAAAAATTCGTAGATATCGATGAAAAGAAGGATCTTTCTCTTTTTATTTAAAACATCAGAACATCAAACTTGAAAAACGAATTATTGCTATTATTTTATAACATTCAAACTTCGATTACATACTGAAAAGGCGCATAAAAAATCTTGTTTCACTAAATATATATATATATTTGTTATTAAATTTTTAAGCAAAGAAAATAGTATTGAAAATAATATTATTTTATTTTAATTTAGAATAATTTTAATTTTAATTTTATTTATAAATTAGAATAAAGGAAACAATAATATTGCTAGAAAAATTTTGTTCTAAATGGAACAAATAAAAAATCAAATGAATCACAAATTACATCCAAATAATGTATTTACAAGATACAACTTTATTTTTTTATATATTATTATAAATATTAATGAAAACGTTATTTTTGCATACATATGTATATATATAAATATAAATAGTAAAGTACACATTAAGTTATTATTATGTGCAGTGTTTTTAGAGGCCACTCCGATGCAGTAAACGCGATTGCTTTTACACCTGATTCTTGTTATTTAGTCACGGCTTGTAACGAAGGTACCTGGAGATTATTTGACATTGTGGATAATAAAAATTGTGCGGCATTAATTATTTGTGGAGAAGCTCATGACTTAGGCGTACAAGGGTGTGACTTTAGTCCATCATCTGATTTTATATATAATAGTGAGTATTATAAAATATTATGAATTAATATTGATGTTTATGTATAACTGCTCTTCGTAATTTATCATATTATCTTGATTTACAGAAAGAATAAATATAAATAATGATAAACACTTTTATTTACTGGCAACTGGTGGCAATGATTCAATGGTTAAATTATGGCAAATAACAATTGGTAAACGAGATGTAAGTGCAACAGGAAGTATTGGAAGCACTGGTGATGACATACAATATAAAGAAAAAAAAATTTTTACTGGACATGGTGGCAATGTAACTTGTGTTCGATTTTCTCCAATTCACAGCGAAATCTTAGGAAGTGTAGCGACCGATAGAACTGCACGTATATGGAGTATAGTAAGATAATATTTAAATTATCTCTTTTTTATCTTTTATAAAAAATAAGTCATTCTTTTTCAAAATAGCAATAACAAAAAAAAGAGAAAAATAATATCCAAATATGTGAAAAATTATTTTGCATAATTATTTATAACTTAAAAAATTATACATATAATTTTAGTACTCTGGAGTGTGTTTGTACGTATTAGAAGAGCACGAAAGTCTTGTAACTGCTTGTGCATTTTCGGAAGATACATCCCTTTTTATTACAGGTTTGGGTTATATTATTTTATCCAATGTACATTCTTTTGATTAATTCTTTTTTATATAAATAAATTATTTCAAATCATAAATATAGGTGCTCTAGATAAAACTGTCTTAATTTGGAAAATACCTCAACAATTAATTTCACAAAATATATTAATGAATAATTTAAAGTATAATAGAAAAAAGGTATTTAAAACATGATATTGTTTAAAATAATATTTTGTTTAATAATAAAAAATTATGTTAATTATTAACATTTTTAATATTTAATACGAAAGGTTATAGATTGGAAGATTGATGATACCTTAAAATGGTTAGACGAAATAGGTTTATCAATATTAATTAAAAATGCTTCTGCGATTTCTTTAACGGGACGTCAATTATTTTCTTTATCGGAAAATGAATTAATAAAAAAACTGCATATAGAACAGGATGATGAGGTAGAATTTAAAATAATTTATATTTTTTCCTATTACTCATTTTATGGTAATTTTAATTGCGTATACAATTGCAGACAGCAGAAGCACTTAAAACACAATTGTATTGGTTGAAACGTGAAGATGATAATTCTATAGAAATTTCTATAGACGATACCGAAATACCTCACGAATTTTTATGTCCTATTACACATGAAATAATGAAAGAACCTGTTCAATGTTCTGGTAATATAAATAAAAATTATAATTAAGATTTATTAACAAATGATTATTTTAACAAACATCTTAATTTCAGATGGATTTACATATGAGAAAGCAGCTATAAATGAATGGTTTTTATGTGGAAAATATACTAGTCCAATGACAAATAAATCTCTTCGAGATACTTCATTTACCCCAAACATTATACTCAGGAACGCGATATATACTTTTCTTCATGGAAATCGACCACAATTTTAAATATTAATAATTGTTAATGATTAATTTAAATTATAATTGAAAGTATAAGTATAATATAAATATTTGTAACAATTTTTTTTTTCTTTTTTTTTCTTTTGACTAACATGTTAGCATATCTTTTTCTTAGTCACTTGACACTTTTCTTTATCACAATTTAAGAAACTTTATCAGAAAAATTGTATGCACTCCTATAAATATATATATAATGCTATAAAAGAAACAAATCATAAATGCGCACAAAAATTTATTGTACAAATATAATTAAAAAAATCGATGAACTCGATAAAATATACTTAAATACACTTATATACATTTGTGATAATTTTATAAATATCTATTAAATAAAAATTTTAATTATATACATATAATATAAAAATGACTTATTTTTCAAAAATAGAAATTAATATTTATTATCGATATTTTTAATATTGAAAATTAAAATATTCGATATTTTATATAAAAAATTATTTGATTAATATTTTTAAACTAAATAAAAATATACATATGTAAGTATTTAAAATAAAATGTTATTATTTATAAACATTCGGAAGTAGCTTCTTATTACTATTAATATTCGACCAATTAATATTGAAATTGTTTAAAAACAGGATGCTCATAAAGAAATCTATGATTCAAAATTACATGAAAAATCGAATTCATGTAAAAATTGAATAGTTTTTGAATGGGTACTATTACGCATAGTTACAGCACTGTTGAATCAAAACAAATGAATAATATCCGCATGACAACAAAATGTCGTAACATTTCTATCGTATATTTTTTTATATTCTATTTTCAAATTCAAAATCATACTCGAAACATTTTTAGATGATTTTGTTTTCATACATCGACAAAATTTTAAACTGTATAAAAAATTTATATTAGACAAAAAATACAAAGTTCATACATCAATTCTTTTAATAAATATAATTATTTTTTATAATTAATCAAAATTATCAAATTGAATATCTATTAATATTCATATACAGAAAATTTTAAAATTTTAAAATTTATTTTAAAATTCTCTATTAAAATTATATTTATGTAATTTATCATCTGATTTTTGTTCCAAAATTATGCAATATATTTTTTAAAAACTGAACGTGATAGAACAATTCTGCTTATAAATTCATTTTTAAGATAAGAAATTTTATCAAAATCTTGTAAATATTGCAAATTTAAATTTATATTGTACAATATAATATATCAAAATATACAAGATAGTTTAATATAGTGATCTTCTCAAAGAAAAACCGAAACTATGTAATTCATCGAGATTAGAAATCAGTATCAAGTTCGTAAAAATATAATATTAATAATAAAGTTTCATATTTTTAAAGAATAATACTATAAAACCGATAAGTTATTATGAATAAATGCAGCTAAATTTTTAGTTTCAATTATTTATATTATATTACTGTTACTTATCTCATATAGCTTATAAATGAATATAATTTTTAGAATTTATTCTTTATTTTTTTTGGTTTCTTGTTTTTAACTATTTTATTTTAATCATTATTTTAACTAAACATATTTTAGGATTTACTAAAAATTTTAAATAATAATAATTTGTTAAAAATTCACTTTCATCTTGATTATTTTTATTTACTTTGATAATATTGCAGTAAAACCGATGACTATATAAATTCTTCGAAGATAACTAGATTGAAAAACTTAGTATGATTGGAGCGCTTGTGTCAAACGTGCACATATATACGTTCACTGTAAAAAGATACGTATTGTGTCTCTGACGATAAATAACAAAATGGTTAGTATTCTTATAGACTTTCTTTTCTTTGCTTTTTTGCTATTTTATTACAAAAAATGTACTTAAACAAAAGTAGCAATAAAAGAATGCGTCATATTTTCAGGCATCTTACTCAGAGGATCAGTTAGCAGGTAAGTAAATACGAATGACATTTGCGATATCAAACAGAATAAGATTAAAGAGGGACGGACAGATTGTACTCGATGTTCAATTTAGGTCAAGAATATCGTTTACCTTATTAGACCCACCCTGGTGACATCGATTTACGTGTCGGTGATTTCCTTTTATGGTTAGGCACCTGAAAGAAATAGCAGCAGGAAAGAAGAAACGAAGACAGAAATCGAGTAGCATTGCGTCGTAGCGTCTGTAGAGCCTTTATATTCCGTTTTAAATCGTTTCCAAATATTGTTTTATTAATATACTTGTGTTGTAAACGAGATATATATTGTGTTAAGAAAAAACAAATTTTAATTTATTTATTAATATTCTATATTCTTGCTTTGAAAATGAAACGCAATATAGTATAAATTTTTTTTTTTACACATATTTAATTTATTGTAATTGTTTCACTTCTTAAAAAAAAAAATCTTATTTTTTTTCATACAATTTATATGCATATGTATCTACTTATATATAAAATACACAATGTATGGTTGTAGTTATCAAGAATTAACTAACAGAATGATGTCATCAATTGAGGGTAAATAAATTTATTATTCATAGAATATATCATTTTTTAGATATAATAAATAATAAAGAATAAATATTTCTTTACATATTTATCTATATTTATTCATTTTATATAATTATAATAATTATAATTATAAAATTTTTTATTGCAATAGAATTTCAAGAGGCGTTTCAACTATTTGACAGCCGAGGAGATGGAAAAATTCATGTAGCTCAAATTGGTGATGCATTACGTGCTTTAGGGCAAAATCCAACTGAATCAGATGTCAAGAAATTTACTCATCAACATAAACCTGATGAACGTATTAGTTTTGAAGTATTTCTACCAATTTATCAAGCTATAAGTAAATCTAGAACTTCTGATACTGCTGATGATTTTATAGAAGGATTGCGCCACTTTGATAAAGATGGAAATGGTTTTATTTCTTCTGCAGAATTGAGACATCTTTTAACCACACTAGGTATGTAAAAATATTTTTATTTCTAATTATTTAATACAAATTTGAATGTATAATTTAGTTTGTAATTTACAAACTAATTTTCTTCATTTTTTGATAGGTGAAAAACTTAGTGATGAAGAAGTTGAAACTTTATTAGCTGGTCATGAAGATTCACAGGGTAATATTAATTATGAAGACTTTGTTCGTCAAGTAATGTGCGGTTAAATTTATTTTAATAGATACAGTAATTATTAATCAAAAAAATTTTTATCTATTATAAAATCTTTTATAAACATTTTTTATCTTTTTGATTTACTTATATTGTATTTTTTTATTATTCAAAATTATGTAAAATTATATACATAATAGTTACCCCAATATTATTTTATATTAGAAATGTAGAACATAAATCTTCTTTTTTTTTGTTTATTTGATATAATGAATATACATATACATTGTGCCTTGATGTGAGAAATTCATAAAAAGGTATATTCAAAGTCAAAACTAATATAAAATTTAAAGAAAAAAAAAAATTCAATCTCAATATATATAAAATTTTTTTAATATTCATGTAATTAATTTAATAATTTAAGTAATTATTTTTAATATTTGTTAATAATTCTTTGTTTCTTTCTTTCTATTTTCAAAAATGTTAATTATAAATATAAAAAACTGTATTCGAAAAAAATAAAATTTGTTAGAGATGAAATTTAAACATAGATAAACTTAAAACAAATATTTTTTTTTACATCTAATTATTTGAAATAAATAATAGTATGTAATGCTGTTATGAACCCAGAGATCAAATTTAAATAAAAATATACATATCAATTTTCATATTAAAATAGCTTTTTTATTCTTAATAGTGTAAAAATTTGTATTGTAACATGTAAAAATATTAACATTGTTATAACATTTACCGTGTAAATTAAACAAATAAAAATATTATAAATCGATTTAAATCGAATCGATATATATCGAATCGAAATAAATCGAATGAAGTCGACATTTAAGAAGGAGCGCTTCAGTATCGTTGCATTCGCTTGAGTAGTACGGTTGCCTTGTGTGTTAGTAATTCTACGATAATTTTTTATCAGATAGTAATCGCTAGTCTAGCGAAGATTTCATTGTGAGAAAGTAAAATTACAACCGTCAAAATTTTACGAAGAAAGAAATATGAGTATTAATTCCGGCCTATCATTAAGTAATTGTGAAAGTACTAAAAAAGGCATAATAATGCCAAGTTTAATATCCAGCAATTGGTAAGTAGCGACTACTGCGCCATTTGTCTTTATTTCATCACCGCCATCTTACATTCTATTTATTGGTATTTATTCTTTATTATTTTTATTGGTCCAATAGTTTTTAAAAAATGTTTAATAATATATGTCCAAAATAATTTTTTTTTTTATGAATAAAAATTTTATCACAAATATATTTATTTAAACAACAAATTTTAAGAATTCATATAACAATATCTTCTATCATTCTAAAATCTTTAGATTTATAATTTTTTATTCATGTTTAAAGTTATATTTTTTTTAATGAAACGCTCATTATATTAAATACATATTAAGTAAGTATAATATTTTAAATTAAAATATTTTATACAATAAAAAACAATAAGAACAAAAATAAGAGAGAAAAACAAAATAATAATGAAATTGTAATATATTTCATAATTTTTCGGAAATAATATTTATTCTGTTATACTATGTATACTGCCACGTGAATCATGAACAACCATTGCGTGACGTAGAAACAACACGTATTCATCGATACATTATACATATCAGCTGTTTTCTCTATGCGTATAAAGCATAAAAATATAATAAATCAAATTTTTTCTGTTCTATTCTATTCTATTTTCTATTTTATTTTATATTATTTTATATATATGCATGCTATATACTTGCATTCATATATGTGTATATACATATATATGTCAAAGTTAAACGATAAAGATTTCTTACATAATTCTTACTGTACTTATATAGACATATATATATATAGACATATCAATTAGTAAATATAAAGTAAAATCAGGATAATTTTAATAAGATTAGTAATTACAGTCAAAAAATTATCATTAGATAAAAAAACTATTTTATATTGATGATAATTATTTATCATTTCATTTCATTAAATATTTATTTCAAATATGCAGAAACTTAATATCAAGAATTTCACTTAATTATTCCATTATTTTCATATCGCAATATAAAAGATAATTAATAAAATTGAATAATATATGTTAGTAAATTTAATAAATAGAACTAATATGTTTAAATTTTTTTTTCACAATAGTATATTCATAATATTACTCTTATATATTTGTTTATTTTAGATAATAGATCGCGATATAACAAGCAGTAATATATTTAATTTTACGATACAAATATATTATATATTACATTACAACATAATATATTATAATTAATAATATATAATAATTATAATATTGTATATATATTATATTATATATAATATAATAATAAAAATTATTATATATATATTATATATTGTTAATTATATTTTGTAAATAATTTAATTTTAATATCAAGAAATTTTTAAT